TTTCCGTGATTCCCGAGTTAATAGTTTACCTGCCAAAATTTTCACGAGGCCGTAGGTGATACTCAAGAGCGCGGGGACGCTGAATTTGAATGAGCAAGATTGAGCGTGGGCAGGGGTCATTACCCTAAAATTTCTGCTTCCTAGACTCCGTGGTTCCCAAGATAATAATTTACCCGTAAAAAGTTTCACTAGCCCGTAGGTGATACCCGAGAGCGCGGAAACGCTGAGTTTGAATGGGCAAGGTTGAGCGTAAGCAGGGGGTCATTGCCCTAAAATTTCAGCTTCCTAGATTCCGTGGTTCCCGAGATAATAATTCACCCGTCAAAAATATTCACGGGGCCGTACGTGTTACCGGCGGGTACAGGAAGGTTGAATTTGACCTTTCTGGGTCGCACGTAGTCAGGGGAAATACCCATAAAATTTTAGCTTTCTAGCTTCCGTAGTTTCCGGGATACTGATTTTACCCGAAAAACTTTTACAGGGCCGTACGTGTTACCCGTGTGTACGAGACGACTGAATTTAAATTTGGCGCGTCACCCGCTGGCGGGGAACACTATACCAAAGTTTCAGCCGCCTAGCTTTTGTGCTTTCCGAGTTGAAAGCGCGGGACAAAATGTGGGACACACACACAGACAATCCCGTAACAGTATGCGTTTGTACTGCTGTTACACGGCACAAAACGTATAAAAAATGCGTTCGGCTTTGGGTGTCTTGTGGCCTTACTGTTTGGTGCACATAGAATACATGCTGTAATTTATAATTTGTTTCGCCAGCCAAGCAGCTAGCAACATTTTCATTTGCTTTGACCAGTTCTCCAATAACTGGCGGCAAGCCTGGTGGCTGCTGCTCTTTCATTCCTGGTAAATGTTGCTAGTTGAGCAATTCTTCCCCTTCAGCTGTTTCGAGATGTCTTTGATGATTTGAGCATTACCATCTTGTTCCGAATCCTGACACTTCTAGACCATGGTAAGTTATTTTAAAATCGTTTTTAGAAACGAGCGACGTTGCCGTACACACAAAAGTTGAAGGTTTCGTCCTGCCTCCGAGGTAGCCAGTCCTTTTATAACTCGTTCATTTGCTTCAGAGGTAGTTGGCAAATTTTAACCTTCGAATTCTCGCCTCAAGATAGCCAATCTAAATCAGCTTAGTGTTAACTTTTATAAATAAAAGAAAATTATACAGCATCGTACTCTTGGGCTTGCACCGAAGTTTCGAGTTAGTCACTAGGCAGAGCAATCCATTTATGTTTTATCAGCCCGTTTAGCCGTCTTTTAGAAAGCTTCTCTGACTGTTACTCGAGCAACTGAGATAAGAAAGTCATTGGCAGCCTTCCCAGTTATACTGCTGTTGGTATTGTCATAGAACTCACGTCATTACCGAATTTCTTCGTTTACTATAACACAGTATGTTAACACAAGATCTCCAGGCTTACCGGCGCAGCTATGCAATCTTGTGTGATTCCATTCTGTAGAAAGGTCGCCGATATAAACGCAGTGTTGTAATACGATCATTCAATGTGCCTGTGCTAGGCAGAAGTTCCTAATACGCTTGACTGCTCGCACATGAACTGCACAAATACTTAGAAAAATACTGCTGCTCTTTTTGTTTATCAGTTATTTTGGTGCCAACTTTGTCCAGAACTAAACATTCACTTGGACACACGCGAGAACTAGACGTGCTTTAAATGTCAGACCGGGATTGTACGGTCGTATATAAGCACAGAATATCCTCGTAAATTTTCAGCTTTCTAGCGTGTGTAGCTCGCAAAATCAATTTTTTACGCGAGACTTTCAACATACTGGGACTCACAATACAGGCGTAAGCCAAAGATCACTTTATGTCTGCTTGGCCAATCATGAAGTATTCTAATTAACTCATATCCATGGACATTTACAGGGAACTCAAAGTATGGGTTATTGAAAGGAATGGAACTTTTAAAATATGATTGTAGCTGACGAAATGCTCTTACTCAGACTAGTCGCAAGTGCTTCCATCACCTTAAACAGTGAAGTGCATGAGAGCGGACGAAGGAAAGAGGGCGAAATTTTAAATAGTAATCAGAAAAATTTGAGGTGACTGATAGTTAGGATTGTCTGGAGGCTGACGACAGGAGGTGATGAAGCATTAATCAGGGCAGCTGGGAATGTTGTCAGATTCGTAGTTGGAGGACCACGCTGTGGATTATAAACTGCTTCAAATGTAAGTGGATCGAAAAGACTGGCATGGGATATGGTGCAGTCGAGTAACATCACTTACATGGGGTCTTTATATCGATAATCCATGCGGTTTTCTTATTAGTAGTTTTATTGTTGGTAAAAGATTGCAGGTGAAACTGGAATCATTTTATGATCATTTACAGCCCGATGCAAAAACTAGCAGCGCCGGTATGTTCAGTTTTGGCTTGTGGATGCATCAGCTGGATGCATCAGTGGATGCGAATGAATGTCTGGCGCGGACGATTACTCAAAGAAGTCTTGGAAAAGAGGTTGGTTTTTTGTCCGTCAGATTCTGAGTTTTTGTCCCCGCGAGGCACTCATTATTTTTGCTCGCAGATTATCATTTTCAGGACTGCTCCTTTTCCTTGTTATGAAACATCAGTTGATGATTATTATTGATTGTTACGCGAAAAGAAAATAAAGGGGAAAAGATGATGCACATTCACGGCGGGCATCATATTGGTGGTCGAAATATATATTTTAGGGTAAAACGAATTTGTTTCTATCCTGCTTTGTTCAAAACGTTTTCAGGATCGCTTTTCTCTGAGATAGTACATTTCGGAAGTATGTTCCTAGTCATTTCCTTATGGAAGATCATGATTATGCTCTGTTCAGTACTTTTGAAGATGATTTTGAGCCGATACCAACAGAAAACCTGGAGAAAGAAGCTCTGCTAAGTAAGTTGACATAGCTATACAATAATGTTCACTTTAATGTAATGTAAGGACCGGAGGACTTGCGTGGCCGTAGATGTAGAGGTGCTACTGTTCCCGCCCTCCAAGTAATTGTCCGGTGACAGCTTGGAGATGCTGCCAAACTTATTCTCTCTTTTGTGGATGTTTTTTTTTTCTTAAAGTGTTATTTGCTGGTGTGGGCGTGCGTCCTCCGTAGCTTCACATCTACGGCTGCGCAAGTCCTCTGATCGTTACAATAGTACGTGTTTTGTCTATGAATGAAGTGATGCTCGGAATGTCAAAAACTGCATATGTAGTGAGTTGGCTGACAGAAAATGGAAGAAAGCGACTTATAACAAGAGGGCCAAGCATTGGTATTGTGAGGGCGATGCTTAGACTATCGGCTTGTCTTTGCTATGTCAAAAATTTCTCACTTCAGATTTTTTGTTGAGGGTTTTCCCACTACAGATATTACTTGTGCTGTGCTTCGTATCAGAAATGTGCCAGGGGTTATATGATTGCTCGAGTAGCATCGCTTCAGCTCCATTTTAACAAGAGCCACATGTAACCGCTCTCAGTAACAAGATTATATGAAAATGATTACGAGAGAATTATAAATTGTGTGATAACGATTTCACTTGGAAGAATATGCATGATGAAGGCGACCGTCACTTAGATATGATGACTTTCCAGCTCCACTTCGTTATCAGGCTGTTGAATGGTATTATGAAACATTTGAACAGGGTGGTGCCTCGGAGGCTATTTTAAAAAAAAATCGATTCGTAAACAATTTTTGTCTTCATGGTTTCAAGTCATTTGAAAAAAATAGTGGATGTAATCTTTTGTTGCTGCAGGTACAATGCTGAGGTTTTTTTTCAAATCATTCAAACATCAAAGTATGGATTATGCCGTGCCGCAAATAATGGAAGATGATAAGGTGCGCAGACGCGAAGTACCTATAAATCTACTTGAATTTTATACATAACTAATGGCCTGTTAACTCAGTTGTCGAATCGGAATCGGGCTCATCATTTGTATTGCTGACAACTTATACAGGTGCTTTGACAAGTGCTGAATAGCCTAGTAAACTGCAAATAATTGTCTATTGGAGTTGCCTGCCTAAGTTCTTCCAGCAGAGGGTTTTTTTAGCTGAAACTTTCTTTCGGAAATATACTTACATCAGCCCTACGGCAGAACATTAGATTCGGTTTTAAGAGCTGCCTTTCTGGATTCGCTAAATATGACTTCAAATAATTGTCATGGGACAAAAAAAGACCTGTTCGTAATTCTTATTGTCTTTATGGTTTTGGATTTTTTGAAAAAAATGGCCAGTTACGAAGCTTGGCTCTTTTAAGCATTCGGTTTAGTTTTGCCGGTTGCATGATTTGGATCACCAGGTTTTCGCTCATCCAAATAATTCTGCATCAGATTCCTAACATTTCCAGAGTGTCAAGTCAGGAGCGCCTCATCACTTCAGAAGAAATTCTCTTGTTCCTCTTGGAAGACGGTTTGGAACTCAACAGAGCTGATCTGGAGGACATTTTTTCCTGACAAATGCGACCCAGCAGTGGGAGTCCAAAACTTTTCACCTTTCTTTTTAAATGTTGGATGAAGTAATCTATAGTATATAAAAGTCTATTGATTTGAGAAATTTCAATTTTCTCGGGTTTCTTGCTGTTCTGATGGGATGCGAATGAATTGGCGCTTGTTGTTCCCCTGTTCGACGCACTAATTTTTATTTCATATCATATTTGGAACAGCTCCACTCCGGGCATTTCAGTTAATGGCTTGTCCCCGTTTACTGTTGCACTGCAGCTGTTTGTTTTAATTTCATCCAGCATCTCTTGGTGTACTAACGAAGCCAAAACCCACTTTGTATACTCAGTTTTTGTAAGGCGTGAAAAATAGAGATTAGCCCTGAGTGGTAGGGATTTGCCAGCAAGATGACAATCGCTTCTTTCGAGATTGCTTAGAAATAAGCTAATAATTGGCTAGTCTCTTTGGGATATGCCAGTATTGTTTAAGAGAATGAACAATCTGAAAGGGGATTGACTGTTCCATTGGCAGAATAGAAACTTAACCTTCTACGTGACCAGTGACCTCCCTCCCCCGCCTCTTCTCCTTCCCTTCTATAGCGAATGAGTAAAGTGGTGGAGGAGTCGCCTGTTACGTCTAGTACCTCGATGTCGGAGACAGAGATCAACTTAGTCGAAAGCATACCGGCTGCCCCTACGAGGATGCGTTTTTTGCACAGTTCGCCCGCAGGTTCTTTTCGTCAGTGGCACGCTCTTCCCGGCAGATGCTTCTAGCTAGAAGAATTGTGACTGGCCACCACGACTGTGACAATTTATTACAATGACTTCCGATCCACGTCCAAAAAATTCAGCACTTTGGATGCTTCGGTTTCGGAGTTACGCCAAATTCCACGTGTTCGTACGTGGGTAGCAAATTGAGTGTTCAGTTCGCTTGGAGTTGCTTAAAGACTACCCTAAGTAGTGCCCAAAAAGTTTCAGTACTCGAGCTGCTCTGGTTGCAGAGTTACGTAAAACTTCACGTGTTCGTATGTGAGTGGCAACGTGAGTGCTTTCTTCGCTCGTGACTAGTCAAACACGGTCCTGGGTGGCGCTCAGGAAGTTTCAGCACTCCAGCTGCTCTGGTTGCAGAGTTACGTCAAATTTCACGTGTTCG